TATATATATATATATATATATATATATATATATATATATATGAAACAGATATTTTGGAGTGCCGAATCTCACACCTCTTGCAGAAGATTAATCATCATATAAAATGAAAAAGGGTTAAAACTGCCCCTAAACTATTGGAAAAGATTTAAAAACACTCTTCATCCACCTATCACGCTAAAAATACCCTTTCCTTTATCTTTTTTGTTCACTTATGCCCTTTGACCGTTAGGCCAATGCTGAATTAAAAATAATAATTATTTAAAATTACAACTTCTTATTGATCGAAATTAAAACATCTAACCTATTAGAAATATCAACCCGTATCTGCCCGTTTTTTGGACTAACCCGCCCCAAACACTAACTCGACCCAAATAAAAAGTTCAACTAAAAAAAGACGCCCCACCATCTAACTTCGAGTTAACTGCTACAAAAAGCACATTAGGAAACCAGGAGATCAAAATTATGCTTCACTAATGAACTTTCTTGACCAATCTAGGAAACTATAAGAGGTAGAGAAAGATAAATGCCAATGCAACAAACAAAATTAGGATTGAATTGGAGAAAATAACTTTTCAGCTTATGTGGGTGATAGGGCTTATTAGTTAGGATCTGTTAGCCCTGATGTAATGCTACTGCTAATAAATATCAAGAAACTACCAAACCTAGGAAAATGCTTACTCACTAACATATTGAGGTAAAGATATTTACTGCTGATAGTTGTCGGAAGTTCGCACTAGCATAACTAATGGAAATTGTCACTCCTATTATATCATTTCTTCCAACTTTTAGTGGCATAAAGGTGGACAAACCTAAGATAAGCGTGGTGAAAATAGTAAGGGTTATTTTTGTCATCCTTCCATCTAACTCGAGTTAGATGGAAGTGGGACGTTTTTTTCAGTTGAACTTTTTATCGGGTTGGGTTAGTGATTGGGGCGAGTTAGTCCGAAAAAAGGTTAGATGTTTTAATTTCGATTAATAAGAAGTTACTACGTGGAATTTAAATAATTATTATTTTTAATTCAGTATTGACCTAACGGTCAAAGAGCATAAGTGAACCAAAAAGGTGAATGGATGGGTATTTTTAGCCCAATAGGTGGATGAAGAGTATTTTTAAACCTTTTCCAATAGTTTAGGGACATTTTTAACCCTTCTCTGCATATAAAATTACTCTTCAGATATAGTACATTCATTTTAAAAACGTTTTTTTTGTTTCTCACCCGGTGTCCGGTATCCGCATTGGAGTCCAACTATATCCGGATTCGCGCCGGGTAAGGCCCCATTCGGGAGGTAGCGCTCCCTACAAAGGATTTTTCCATACCCAAGGCTCGAACTCGAGATCTCTAGTTAAGGGAGGAGCAACCACATCCACGGCACCATATCACTTGATGGTATTTTTAAAAAAGTTACTCTACATTTCAGTACTCAATTAAAGGAAAAGACATTTAAAAGAGTGAAAGATGAAAAGACTTCAGTTTCCTAGACTTCTCATTTATCCATTCAAGTCATCAAGTGTCATTATAAATTTAAAACTACTAATAAATATGAACTCACGAAAAGTTTGATCATCCAACTTGGGTTTCTCTTGAATTCCCAAACCCAATTATTTATTTTAGTTGCTTTCTTCGACGACGCAGTAATTTGATGGAGGTACATATATTGCNATATATATATATATAGTTTTAATAGGACCATTTTTTTGTGGGTGTGTATTATAGTGCACAGTCGTGAATGTGTTAATTCTCATGAATGTCTTGACGAATTATTTATTTCGAATTTTATGTTCCTAAGCCGCTTAAATTTACAAAAGTATTTGCAAATAATTTTACGTATTTGTATATCATATTTTATTAACTTAAACTATTCTAAATTTCTTTTTGTTTCTATAGCTAGGGAATTTTGGAATATCAACTAATGTATCAGTAGTGTGCTAATCAATACAACAATTCAAAAAGCAATAGAGCTCTGAATAAATAATCTGTAGTATTTTTACTATTTTCAAAATTAGTAATATGTATTCTCCGCATATAGCAAATTTTACTTATGCTAATACTATTGGATTAGAAGCCATGATATATCATTTAAATAATTTATTAATTTGATGCTACTAAAAAAAGCTAAAGGTCTATAATATCAAAGAAAAATCGACTGCACATATGGTGCTCCGGCTTATATGACTACAATTTGTGAATATTATGATCTTGCTACATAGTATATGCTAATTTGATATCAATGGAGTTGGATTCAAGAGCCAGGATTTATAAAATATCTATGTAAATTTACATAGCTTTTGTAGTTTTTGTTTGCTCTAGGGCTTCATTTTTTACACATAGTTTTTTGTCCCTCCCCCCCCGGAAATATGGCATAGGATGCCTAGAATAGTTAATATGAGAATTTTGTTATTTTCTTAGTTAAAATTTTTATTGGCAGGGGGGAATTTGAAAATGTTGATGTAAAAATAACATCAAATTTTACTTGGATATTTTAAGAGCATAAAATTACTGAAGAACGACAACTTCAAATGTGGTGCATGATAGAGGGGTTTTAAATTTCTTTTTACCCTTGTTCTGTGGAAAGTGTCAAATGGCACAACTATATGATGAGATTCAATTTGGTCACACATTTTATTAATTGACTTTGCACTTTTTAAGCTTCAAATTTTTGTTTATACTAATGTTTATGTTGTTTAAAATAAATTATATTGATTCATATGGAACACACGTGCATTGCACGTGTCCAAAAACTAGTAATACTTAATACTATCACTCTCTCTCTTTAACTTACCTTCTCGAGATACTTCTTTTCTCTATATATTAGTATCTAAAAGAAAGAGTAAATGTGGAGAAGAAGAAGTAGGCCAGCAGATTTAACAGCAGCTACGGCTAAATTGGAAAAATGAAAAACAATAAATGGGTTTTGCAAATTTATTCCTCACCATGGTGATTATATATACTACAAGAAATCGGTCTTTTAGGGGCAATATTTAGTGGGGACTTTATTTATTGCTGTAAATATCAAATTTATTGTGGCGACTCTAAAAAGTCGCTAAAGAAGATAAACTTTTAGTAGCGATTTTCTTAGGTCACCTCTAATATGTGCCACTAAATCCTGAATTTTTTAGTTCCCGCTATTAACCAAAATTTGGCTCCAATGTTTTAGGAGCGACTTAAAAAATATTGCCCATGTAGGCCTTTTGGAGCGACTAGGTCGCTACTATAATTTAAAAAAAAAAAACTCTTAAAATTACTTAAATAAAAAGAAGCAAAGAAAGAAAATGAAAGGCTAGTTTATAGAGAAGAAACGTACTCTCTCTCAACAAAATGGGTTTTCTCCCACTCTTATTAAAAATTATCCATCCAATTCCCTATTCTTGAATCTATCCTTAAATCGCAAATATAAACCAATACCCAAAGCCCTAATCAGAAATTATATTCTCAAAATAGGTATGTGTTTGAATCCTAAATTCTTTTGGGTGGTACATGAAGCTAGCGAGAATGATTATTTTTTCAATTCCACCTTTAATTTCTCTGACCCATTTAAAAATATACAGGAATCAAAAGTAATATTTCTTGAATAGTCATCGCCTAAAGCCCTTTCTCAATGTCGACTGCTCTTTCGCTGAATAAGTTGAAAACTTCTTTCTGAAATTTTAGACCTTTGACGATTGTATGTTTGGTATTCCTCTCAAAACCGTGAAATGTGATGTTAGGTGTTATGGGTCTTCATTTTTCTTGATATTTTTCTATGGAACTCGAAAATTTCATAAATATTTGCCCAATAATATTTTGTGTAGTGTGAGTGAAGGTTATTTGAGCTAGGGGTGGGCATAAAATCGGCTGAACCGTAAATTTTGGTTGTTCGATTTTCGGTTTGATCGGTTATTCGGTCGGTGTGTGGTTTACAAATTTTTAAATTTTGGTGTTCGGTGCGGTTTACGGTTTTGGTTCCTCGGTTACCGAACAACCGATCTGCAATTCCATTGATTCATTGAAGGTGCACGCATATGCTACTATCTGCGTCAGTGAAATTGCTACTGTCTACTGTCTGCAATTCCGTTATCTGTTTGATGCAACAAAGGAAAATTGTATACAATGCTCTTATTAGCATTTGGTACCAGTTGTTTGTTTTCTCTGTCCATCAGTTCAATACTGCTTGCAGTATGCAAAATTTTATCTTATTGCCAAAAGAGCATAAAGAAATTTAAGAACTCATGTGCACATTTATTTGGTAACCTTTGGGTTGTTGTCTCTAGCAAAGATTTTGGAATTCAGGAGTTGTTTCTCCTTAAAAGTAAATCATGCTCTGGTTCTTAGCAGCTATACGCATACAATCATACTATTATGCATTCAAGGCGACATCCAAATCATGCATAATAGAAAGAAAAAGAAATGAGCAAGACAACGCAGTATGCAACCCAAACCAGCTTTTTCTGTTAGTTTTTCATGGATCCTTAGGCATTGGTCACATGTTAGGTGGTCTCCAATAGACAAACCTCTGTACAAGTACCTATACATCAGATAAGAAGGTTTGACTGTGAATCTTGTAACCCAACTTCAGAAATCTGCCACATTACTAGTGCAACATGTAGATCTATGGATTTATTTTCCTTTTTAAATATTGGATAAATTGCACGGCAAATTCATATTCATTTCTTCTCTGTGTCTCAAGTATGTAATCATACAAGTTCATGTTGAACTACAGTGTGTGTGAACCAGAGTATAGATGGTCCAATATAAAAAAAAGAAAGAATGTCTCCTTCCATTTCCCCTCATCCTATAACTTCAACTTGACTTGTTCTGCTATTCCTAGGGTTCAAATTAGTTATGCTGTGGTCACTGGAATGTCCATTAAAGCAAATGAAAGCAGTCAAAAAGAGTTCATTCAACAAGGAAATGTCCCCTTGCATCACATAATTCCTTCATCTTCTTTACACTAACGAAGATATAAAGAGATTTAGTCCTAAAATTTGACCAGAACCATAAGAAATCAAATCAGCAGCAAATTATTTAAAGCTGGCATCTTGTTGACAAAGGTCGAATATTGGTATATCCACAATAACTGTAAGTATTATTGTAAACATTTCCCTCTTTGACTAGTATAGTGTTATTGTATTTTCGTATGATGCACTGTTTCTATTGAGATGCTACTCTTAATAGGAAAAAGTTGTTGCTGCAGTGCTATTTTTTTATGGGTGATTTGATTTGTTCATATTTTTCACTTATGTTCTTGTTGATATGTTGGTTGTTGTTGCACTTCACTTTTAGTTAATTAATTGATTGCCTTTTATCCTAAAAAATAGGTATGGATAAAAGTTGGTTGAATCTTAGGAATAGAGGAGACCAAAGATATAGAAATGGAGTAGACGGTTTTCTTAGTTGGGCATTCAACCAATCAAGGGTGAGCACTATGATTCGATGTCCTTGTAAAGGGTTGTGAACACTGTGTTCAAGCTAAGGACCAATGTAAGAGGAGACTTATTGAGGAAAGGTTTATGGGATTCTTTTAAAGTGTGAGACTTGCATGGAAAAGTGTTAGTTTAGAGGTGAAAATTCTAATGTAGCACGCAATGATGAAGTAGGAGATGATAGTATTGAAGAGGATAATATTACAGAAATGATTCACGATGCTTGTGGATACACTAATGGGGCATATGATAATTTTTCAGAGGATAATGAAGAGACAAATATACATGCAACAAAGTTCTACAAATTATTAGAAGATGCTCAAATAGAACTTTATCCTAGTTATAGTAAAGTCTCAAAACTTTTGTTGTTAAAATACTTCACTTGAAGTGCCTTAACCATTGGAGCAACTAATCGATGGATGAACTGTTGAGCTTTTTGAAAGAAGTTCTTTCGGAGGAGTCATTTGTACCAAATTCTTTCTATGAAGCGAAGAAAGTTCTTCGTGACCTAGGCTTGGGGTACAACAAAATAGATGCATGTCGGAATGATTGTATTTTATATTGGCGCGATTATGCCAATGCTCAATCATGTCCTAAGTGTGATAAGTCTAGATGGAAGTCAGACGAATAAAAAGGATAGAAAGTAGCTTGTAAAGTATTGCGACACTTTCCGATCAAACCAAGGCTTCAGTGATTGTACATGGCAAAAGAGACAGCAAAAAAGATGAGGTGGTGTCTTGCGACATCCGTCCAACTCCATTACTTGGAAATCCTTTGAGGAGCGACATCCCACCTTTTCAGCTAAATTAAGAAATGTTCGATTAGGTTTAGCAAGTGACGGGTTCCAACCTTTTGGTAATATGAGTGCTAATCATAGTATTTGGCCAGTCGTATTAGCTACATATAATTTGCCACCATGGGATTGCATGAACAATTCCTATTTTATGATGACACTTTTTATTTCAGGACCCAAGTGTCCAGGTAATGATATAGATGTATACTTACAACCATTGATTGAAGAGTTAAATGAGTTATGGGATGAAGTGGAAACTTATGATGCATACTCAAAATTTAATTTTAAGATGTGTGCAGCTATCATGTGGACGATTGATGACTTTCCTGCCTATGGAAACCTTTCAGGATGGACAATGAAAGGCAAGCTTGCATGCCCTTGTTGCCACAAAGACACAATTTCAGTTTCTTTACGTAATATGTTGTGTTATATGAGCCATGGTCGCTTTCTCCCAATAGATCATCCATGGCGCCGAAATAGGAGGAAATTTGATGGGAAGGTAGAAAATGGGGTTGCACCTAATCCTTTAACAATCGATGAAGCACTTGTACAATTATAAGGCTTTGGAAATATTGGTTATGTGAAGGGAAAAAGGCGAAAACGTGATTTTCCAAAAAGTGCTTACAATTGGAGGAAGAAAAGTATTTTTTTTCAATTGCCTTATTGGAATACTCTTTTGTTATGGCATAACCTTGATGTAATTTATTTAGAGAGAAATGTGTCTGATAATATTATATCAACTGTGATGAATATGGTTGAAAAGACAAAGGACACACTATAAATTATATATGATTTGGTGGACCTTGGTATTAGGCAAGAGTTGCATCCGATAGAGGATAGGGATAATGTATTATTACCTGCAGCATGTTATGCATTGTCCTCAGAAGACAAGTTGAAGTTATGCAATTTCTTGGCTAATTTGAAGGTTCCTGATGCTTTTTCATCAAATATTTCAAGGTGTGTCAACGTACTTGAAAAAAAGCTTTATGGATTGAAAATTCATGATCACCATTTATTATTGCAAGACATTCTCCTAGTTGCAATACGTGGTTTGTTGCCTAAGACAGTGTGTGAACCAATTATAGAGCTATGCAAATTTTTCAAAAAAATATGCTCCAAGTCCTTGACAATTGAAGGTCTTGATATTCTGGAGGCTAAATGTGCATGCATATTATGCAAGCTTGAAATTGTTTTTCCTCCGTCGTTCTTTGATGTCATGATGCATTTGCCAATTCACTTGGCAAAAGAGGCAAATCTTGGTGGACCAGCTCAATTTCGATGGATGTATCATTTAGAGAGGTAATGTGTTCTATAATAAAAATGCCATATTTTTTACTAACATATTACATTAATGAATCATTTGCATATAGGTATTTGGGACACAAAAGTCATATGTTTGCAACAATGCTCATCCTGAAGGTTCAATTGCAGAAGGTTATTTGGCAACGGAAAGTCTCACATTTTGCTCACGATACTTAAAGAATATCTCAATCAAGTTCAATAAACCGACTAAAAATGATGATGGCTCTGTGTCAAATGGTGAGATATCTATCTTTAAGAAAAGTGGGCAAATAAAAGGTGGTTCAGAAGGCATCAAGCTATCTCATGATGAGTTTAAACAAGCTTGTATGTATGTGCTTCAAAATTGTGAAGAGATTTCACCATTCATGGAGTAAGTTAATTATTAATTCCAAGATAGGCTCACATTAAAATGGTTTGAATACACTGTCTTAACTAACTCCATTATCAAAATATAGGGAATACAGGGAAGAGATTGAAAGACATGGTTCAACGAGAGATGGGCATAACAATGAGTTTCTTGATTGGTTTCGTGCACGTGTATGTGTCGAGTTAAATGATAATTTTAATATTAGTGTAATTATTACATAGTGTTATTAGTCACAAGGGTGTTACTTGTCTTTGTAAATCTGTATATTATCTGCCCAAGGACATGCAAATGATGAGCTCATAAGCTCAGCCGTTGGTCCTGCACCGATGGTGTATCGATATTCTAGATTTGTAGTCAATGGATTCAGATTACATACAAAAGATCTTGAGTTGAGAAGAAAAACACATAATAGTGGAGTCCTTGTAAAAGGAGACGATTCAGATTCTAATAAGGAGTATTATGGTGTATTAGAGGACATTTATGAGTTGTCATATGTGGGAAATAAGAAAATCTACCTATTCAAGTGTCATTGGTAGGATGTGGCTCACTTAGGAAGAGGATATAAGATTGACAAATATGGCTTTACAAGTGAAAATACTCATTGTGACTTGAACATTAATGAGCCAATGTGCCCTGAACAAGTCTTCTACTTAGAAGACATGGTTGATAAAGATTGGCTTGTCGTTGTAAAGACAAATTCTCGTGACATTTTCAATATGCCTGAAGTTGATGATAATTTTGTAGAAGTTGAAGATGAAGCATTACTGAATGAAGAAGCTTATCTACAAGAGGAAGTTGAATTGAATATATTGTAAAACAATGACCAGGAAAATAATATCGATGTGACTTTACATAGGGACGATGTTGAAATACAAAGTATTGATGCAAGTATACAAGCTCAGATAAGTATGCATGAAAAGGAATATGATTTCATTGATGACAATCATATAGATGTATCTGATGATGAAGAAAGAGAAAAAGATTTACTTGGTGATGGAGAAGACACTGATGATGCCTTTGAAGATTGAGAAGCAAAGACGGATGTAGTTAGATGTCTCATTTTGTTTTGAAAAGTTCTCTGTATCTTAGTCGTTACTAAACAGACAATGAAATTAATCATGATGATTGTAACTTTAATTTCATAACTAGTTATCTATTAAGCTTTTGTGAATTGAATTATTACCTGCCTTCTATGTACACTAAGCTTAATTTTAATTTTTCATGTATAATGATAAGATCTTACCCCTAATTGTGCCTTTGTTCTTACTAATTTTTTTCTATATCATGTAGGAGGTTCAACATAACAGGAATTGGACGAGGCAAAGGGCGAGGTGGAACTGGCCGTGGACGTGGCCATTTTCAAGGACGTAGCAATTCTGGAGCAACGTCTCAGCCACAATTGCAGCTAAGGGGAAATACTAGAGCATCCCTAGAGACAAAAGAATCAAATAATCTTTTTCAAGAACCTATAGAGACAGGACAAATATCAAGCTACCCGAGACCTTCTATAGAGATAGTTTCATCAAGAAATCTGGACAGAAGTGTGTATGCTTCTCCAGAAGCTGAAATTGGTAGTGCAGGTTAGTTTTTTATTTTTCCCTTTAATGTAACTACACACGCGCGCGCGCACACACACACATATATATATTTGGCCACATATATTTTTTTTTGAAAGGTAAAGGAGGTAAAGGTTTATTAACTAAATACCAAGATGGTACCAGAAAAGAGTACAAAACTGTTGGGAATATCCATGTAGTTAATTACAACATTATATAAGTAGCTCCATAAAATCCATGTAATGATCAGTATTATCTATAAAACTACTATTACACCAAAGAAATAGATTGTGCTACTTCTTCAAGCTCCCTTATTGCAACATTTCTTTCATTTTCTAATTTCTCTTGATTCTGATTTTCTCTTAACCCATGATCTATTTGTTCCAACCTTTATAAAACCTTATTCTTCTTTATTTCCAGACTACCAAATACTTCTTTATTCTATTTTTTAATATCTACCTTCAACAAGCTCAGTTTTTTTTGCAAGAATGACATCAGGACCTCCTTGAATATCATATGACTTCCACCAAAAATCTATTAAACCAGAGAAATCCTTGTGTTCAAACCACATATTCTCAAACTTAAAGTATCCTTTTCCTTTATCCCAATTACCACATTCCAGTAAAATGGGGCAGTGATCAGATGTAGTTCTAGGTAGGACTCTTTGTTTGATAGCCCTTAAATGTTCATCCCATCCCTCTGATAATAGAAATCTATCTATTCTAGATGTAGTCTCTGCTCATTAAAACCTCTAAACCAAGTGTATGAGCCACCATGTAAAGGATTTCTTAAATTGACTGGTACAAGTATCAATACTATGCTTTCTCAGTATATTTTTTTTTCCTTTGCAGTTTCTTCCAGGAACAAAAACAGAGAAAGAGAAAAATATACATCTAAAACTATAGATATTAAAACAGTACAGCGGAAAAATCACAACTACAATTCCAGATGACATTGATAAAGTGTCACGACCCCAAACACCGCGATCGTGATGGCGCCTATAACAGTACTAGGCCAGCCGAAATAACACGAACAATATAAAGATCTTTTGTAAATTCATTTTCTAATCAAATATAATCTCAAATCTTTGATTTTAATATATCAAAAATATGCGAAAAAACAAATACGTAAGTACATCAACACAACCCGATCCTGTTGTCACTAGTCATGAGCCGCTAAGATACTGTCTACTCAATACAAGATAAGACGAAAATATAAAATACTAAGGATAGGAAGGAGAAAGGCAGGGCTGGCGGACGCCGTGCAACTACCTTGCAATCTCCGAAAAATACTCTGAAGGCAAAGATCAGCTTTCAGTCGGATGCTCTAGCCCCTAGATCTGCACACAAGGTGCAGGGAGTAACGTGAGTACGCCAACTCAGTAAGTAACCAAAATAAATAAAGGTTGAGTGCAGTGACGAGCATTTAAAATCATATACATTCTCTATCATAGAATCTCAATAGAAATATCAAAGTCAAAATCTGTATTTCAATAACCGAATATCTCGTAAAAACTCCAGTTTCAATGAAAGTTCTTTAAAGCATTTGTTCAACATTTTACCGTAGAAGCTCAATATAAAAGAAGANTATATGGCCACTCGGGCAAGCCTCTCAGTCACTCGTGATTCAATTCTCGTCAATCAGTAATCACACTCAGTACTCTCGCTCAGTAAATGTCTCATAATAATAACCGTTGCGCCGTGCAACCCGATCCGTAAATGTATATAGTCGACTGCGCTCACTGGGGGTGTACAGACTCCGGAGGGGCTCCTACAGCCCAAGCGCTATATCGCTGCGACGTGCAGCCCGATCCAACATATCGCTGCGGCGTGCAGCCCAATCCATAAATATATATAATCCTCACCATCAGGTCATCGACCTCTCTCAGTCATTAACCTTACAGCCACTCGGCCATTTCAATAAAATCAGGGAACTTAGCCCAACCAGTTTTTCATATTTCTGAAAGTAGATTAATGAAACTGAATCAAAATGAACAGGTAAAAATCATGACTGAAGATATGCTTTCGAATCAAATAGTGTGAAAAAAGTAGTAAAATACCCTTGAGGGTCCATACAGTTCGGCACAAGGCCCCAATCATGGAATTCAACCCAAATTAGCAGATTCATAAAAAAACGCATAGATATCATATAGAGTTTATCAAAATATGCAACTCTACAGTTGCCAAGGGACAGACCAAGTCACAATCTCTATGGGTACACGCCCACACGCCCGTCACCTAGCATGTGTGTCACCTTATTTATTAAAACAACACGAAATTCCGAGGTTTCATACCTTCAGGTCTAGATTTACAATCATTACTTACCTCGAACCAGATGAAAATCTACTTCACAATGCCCTTGCCTCTCAACTCGGCCTCAAATCATCACGAATCTATCCAAAATCAGAATCATAACATCAATACAAGCCAAAGGGACAAAGGCCACACACAAATTATCAAATGAACTCAAAAATCCCGAAATTGGTCAATTCTGACCCCCGGGCCCACATCTCGAAATCCGATAAAAATCACAACACTAGAATCCTTATCCTCTCATGAGTTTATACATACCAAAATCATCAAAATCGGACCTCAAATGGCCCCTCAAATCCCCAATTTTAACTCTCTAATTTCAAGCCCTAATTTTCCAATTTTCACCCCTAATCTCTTAAATTTCCATGTTTAATCAACTTAAATTCACCATAGATATGAGTATTTAGTTCAAGAATCTTACCTCAATAAGAATCCCCTTGATTTCCTCTTCAAAAACCTCCAAAAGCTCCAATCCTGTCTCAAAAATGGTGAAAATGGGCAAAAATTCGCAAAGGGATGCTTATATAGTTTCTGCCCAGGCATTTCCACAGTTGCGGCCTAAATCTTGCTTCTGCGGACCGCACCTGCGGTCAACTTAACTGCATCTGCGATTGTTCATTAATTCCTCAAACGCCGTACCTGCAACCCAGGTCTCGCACCTGCGGGCTCGCAGATGCGGTCCAGACCTCCGCTCCTGCGATCCTTGCTGCTTCTGCGGTCTACTTTCCGCTTTTGTGGCTCACACGTACGGTCCCCAATCCGTATGTGCGGTTATGACAGGAACAACAGCTGAAGTTGCTCAATTTGAAGACCAAACTTTCCGACAACCTTCCGAATTCATCCCGAGGCCCCCGGGACCTCAACCAAAAATACGAACAAGTCATATATCATCATTCAAACTTATACCAATCCTCGGAACACTCAAAACAACATCGAAACACCAAATCACCCGAAGATTCAAGCCTAAGGATTTCAAAACTTTTGAATTTCGCAACCGATCCAAAAACCTAGCAAACCTCATCCGAATGACTTGGAATTTTGCACACACGTCACAAATGACACAACAGACCTACTCCAATTTCCGAAATTTCATTTCGACCCCGATATCAAGATTTTCGATGTCGATCGAAAAATGCCAAATTTTCAATTTCGCCAATTCAAGCCTAAATCTACCACGGGCCTCCAAATTACATTTTGAACATGCTCCTAAGTCCCAAATCACCTTACGAAGCTATCCGAACCATAAAAACCAAATTCTGAGATCATTTACTCACAAGTCAACTTCCGGTGACTTGTCCAACTAAAGCTTCCAAATAAGAGACTAAATGTCTCATTTCACTCCACGACCATCCCGAACACAGAACAACCAATACGATATGATGAAATACATCTTAACCACATAAAGAAGCGAAAATAGGAAGAACGAGACTGCAACTCATTAAACGACCGGTCGGGTCATTACATAGAGTAGTATATGCTGGGGTAAGAGATATTGTTAATTACTATGGTTTGATCATGAGGAGCACTATCTCATTCTGAGATGGGAATTGGCAAAAGTTTGTTTCAAAATATGGAGAAACAATGTGGTTAAAGGTTAAGGTAACAAGCTATTTTCAATATTGTGTTGGCTTCAAGTTACATGGTTTATTATTATAGTTAAAATCAACATAATCTTACATTTATATATCTTCATAATAAGTTTGAAGTTCTTATTATGTGTTGCAGGCCTTTTTCATCAGTACTATGCAAAGGCTTTTTAGAGTATGGAAAGCTCGATTGAGCATTCACTAGTCTCGCCACATTGCTGATGGAAATATATTATCTCATAGACCTGAAGATGTTGAGCTCGAGGACTGGAAATACCTAGTAAAGTATTTTGGAAGTTCTGAATTTAAGGTAACTTAATAATAGTGTTTGGTCCACTACTCTTTGAACAATGGTTTCATAATCTGTTGACTTAGTGCAGGTTGTAAGCGAGAGAAATAGAAAGAATAGGAAAAAGCAGATACTAAGCATGCTTGTGGTACAAGGTCTTTTGTAGAAATAGAGGAATTGATGACGAAAATATATTTACTATCATACTATCATATATACTTCTTATTATTTGTATATTTATTTCTTTGATTATTTATGTTTTTCCTATTGAACTATATTATAGAAAAATCCTTCCACTAGAGAAAAAGAAACACCAGATGGAGTCTGGGAGATCCAACACGTAAAAATGATAATGGAGAAATTGTGTGGGTGGATCCACAATCCCAACAAATTCATGTAATATTCTTAAATCACTACATTCTTATCTTTTTATGTTTTTTTACTGTATATGACTACGCTTAATTGCAGGGCCTGCTATAGGAACTAGTGGCTCAGCAACAATCTGAAGAGAACGAGCATCCCATGACTAGAGATGAGATTTTATCCTCCGTTCTCGGTGAGAGAACATTCTATGTTCATGGTAAAGGGTACGGAAAGAAGCCTCCAAAAAGAATCAAATTCAAGCAACAAACTTAGAGGCTAGTGTGTCTTCTGCTATGACAACTGTGCGTGAAGAAATGCAAGCTTAGATGAGTCGAAAGTTGTAAGAAGAACGTGAACAAATGGTTGTCGAATTAAAAAGTAACATGGAACAAGAGTTACAAAGGAAGTTGGAAGAGAAACTTGAGCACGTGAATGTGGATGTAGACAACCGGATCAGTGTAGAAGTAGCCAAGAAGATTCAAGAACTAAATCCCATCAATGTTGTATCATCCCAGTGGAAACGGACATGCCGAATCGACAAACAAGATCGTCATCCAAAATCTGAAGAAAAGATTGAACGAAGCCGAAGGAAAATGGAGAGAAGTAATGCCCGAGGTCCTTTGGGCATATCGAACAACGTCGAAATCCAGTACAAGGGCAACATTAGTAGAGCTCCAAAAATGTGATGACCCAAAAGGGTCATCACTTGTGTTGCAAGTACATTCAGTGTTCCGAGGCCTAAAAATCTCCCTTTTTACCCCACCTTGATTTACGTGCGTGGTCCGGACCTATATTCGGAAAGCCTTCTATGCGAAAATATGAGAAATAGAAATTTTAGAGTTAAAACTTTGATTATGGTTGACTTTGGTCAACATTCTTAGAAAACGGACCCGGATCCGTGTTTCAACGATCCCGAGAGGTCTGCAATAAAATATGGGACTTGGGCGTATGCCCGAAAATGAATTCAGAGGTCCCAAGACTTAGAAATCAATTTTTGAAAGAAATTATTTTACTGAATTAACTAAGGAATAAAGAAAAGTATTAATGTTAAAAACCATTGTTATTGGGCCCGTACTTTGGTTCCGGAGCCCGGTACAAACTTGTTATAGTATTTGAAAGATAACTGTGAAATTTGGTAAAAACGGAGTTTATTTGACGTGAGTTAGTGTTCCGGTGGAAGAGTTATGAACTTTGAGAGTACTTGATGAAAATGTTGAGTTTTAAGGTTTAATTCATGATTTTACATGTTATATTGATGATGTGATCGCACGAGTAGGTCCATATGATGTTTTTGAGTTGGTATCACATTTGTTTTGGAGCCCTAAGGGCTCGGGTGGGTTTCGGGATATTTTTACACTGAGGAAAAAGTTGCAGATTCAGAGAAGTTGTAGGTCTCTGAAGCCAGGTCTCGCGGTCCGTGGTGGAAGCTTCGCGGCCGCGGTGGGGACTCCGCGAACGCGGTGGGATTTGTGTGGTCCGCGGTGAGCAAGGCCAAGCCTCAACGATCGCGCTCGATTTCTTGCGGTCCGCGGTGGAGCTCCGCAGCCGCAGTCCTTTTTATGCGGTCACGGAGAGGGTTTGAGAGGAGTTTATTTAAATGGACTTTTCAGTTATTTTTCACTTTTCAAAACTCCAAAAACATAAGAGGCGATTTTTCAAACAACCTTTCTTCTCCAAATCAATTGTAAGTCATTTTTAACTAGTTTTATTCAATCATTAACATCTTTTAACATGATTTCAACTTCAAATCAATTATTTTCATGGGGGAAATTGGGTGTTCTAGGTAGAACCTAGGTTTTTCAAAAAAATGGGGATTTGGACCTCGATTTGAGGTCCGATTTCAAAACAAATTACATATTTGAGCTCGTGAGGGAATGGGTAATCAGGGTTTGGTCCGAATTTCGGGTTTGGACCAAGCGGGCCCGGGGTCGATTTTTGACTTTTTGGGGAAATCTTTATAAAACCTATTTTCATGCATTAGAATTGATTCATTTAGCATTTATTGATATCGTTAAGCAAATTCTGGCTAGATACACGCGAGTTGGTGGTGGAAACAAGAGGTAAAGCGGTAGTTGAGGCTTGAATTGTGTTCGTTGCATCGAGGTAAGTGTTTGGTCTAACCTTAGCTTGAGGGATTAGGAGTTGTGTCCTATTTTCTATTTGCTTCTTGTCGAGTACGACGTATAGGCATGATGACGAGTATCTATACGTTGGTGTCAAGCATGACCGTGGGTCTTATATTGTGGTTTTCATGATTTCGTCGTATTATTCATGCCTTGGTGAAGATTCCTAATTGTTGTATAAAGCGTGTGGAAAGAATTGTGACCTATGAACATTGAGGAGCCTTGGCTCAAATTGTATAGTGAAATTCTGAAATTATAAGTAACAATTGAACTTCTAGAGCATTGGCTCGAGTTGGGAAATGAGTTGTGAAAGAATAAGTGATAATCAAACCTCTAGAGCATTAGCTCGAGTTGTGAAGTGAATTGTGAGGTAAAATTGAGAAAGAGTTATTAAATTGTTCACGTGCCGGGATATTGTTGCTTTTTTAATTATCTCCCTTGCCGGGATGTTGAGATTATTGATGTTGTTCCCTTGCCGGGATTTAATTGTTTAATTGTGTTCCCTTGCCGGGATTTCTATTATTATTTTGTATATTCCCTCGCCCCTTTGTTTATGATTGTTATTTGGGTGAGGAAGAGTGTTAAAACACGAAGAGTGATGCCGTGCATTGTTTGTTATTGTGAGGAAAAAGTGTAAAAGCACGAAGAGTAATGCCGTGCACGTTCTGATTACATGATTGTTTTGGGTGAGGACGAGAGTAAAAGCACGAAGGAAAATGTCGTGCACGTTTTTATTATATAACTGCTTTGGTGAGGCTAAGAGTAAAAGCACGAAGGGTGATGCCGTGCAATTGTTGATTTCTGCTTCTTTGTTAATATTCTAGTTATGTCGTTCTTTCCTTACTTGATGCCTATCTATTCGGAACTATTGTTGCCTCCACAACATGTTTCCCCTTCCCACATTGACTGGTTATTTCTGTATTTCTTTTCTGCTGTATATATATATATGAACTACACAAGTTTATTTGGTAGTCTGGTCCTAGCCTCGTCACTACTTCGCCGAGGTTAGGCTAGACACTTACCAGCACATAGGGTCGGTTGTGCTGATACTACACTCTACACTGTATGCAGATCTAGGAGTAGCTTTCAGACAGTAGTTGGAGGCTTCTTTCAGTCCACTTGGAGACCCAAGGTAGACTTGTAGGCGTCCGCAGGCCCGACATCTCCCTCTATCTTTATTTCCTGTTTCATTTACTTTGTTCAGAAACAATGTATTGTATTTTTTCATACCTTGTATGTAGTAACTCTTAGATAGTCTATGACACTGTGACACCATATTTTGGGGTATTTGATGTTTTTTTAAGTTGTAATAGACGTAGCCTTAAGATATATAATTGTTTACTTCCGCTTATTTATTTAAAATTCTGCTTTTATCATATTATCGGCTTGTGTTTAGTAAAAGAGGCAAAAATGAAAGTGTAGCAAGTTGTTAAGGTTTGGCTTGCCTAGATCCCATTAATAGGCGCCACACGACTCCTGAGGGTGGTAAATCCGAGTCGTGACAAGTTGGTATCAGAGCCCTAGGTATTGCTTCGAGTGTCGCCTATGAAGTGCGTGATGAGATTTGGGAAGAAGGGCAAGCTTAGCCCTAGGTTCATTGGCCCGTTTGAGATTCTTGATCGAGTGGGAGAGGTCGCTTATAGACTTGCGTTGCCGCCGAGCATATCAGTCGTGCATCCAGTGTTTCATGTGTCCATGCTTCAGAAATTTTACGGTGATCCATCCCACGTGTTAGATTTTAGCACTGTCCAGTTGGACAAGGACTTGTCTTATAAGGAGAAGCCAGTAGCTATTCTAGACCGGCAGGTTCGTCAGTTGAGATCGAAGAGTTTTCCTTCTGTTCATGTTCAGTGGAGAGGTTAGCCTGCTAAGGCATCGACCTGGGAGTCAGAGTCCGATATGCGGAGCTGTTATCTCCATCTTTTCCCCGACTCAGGATGAATTCTGCATTCCGAGGATTTAAAAACCTCTTTTAGCATCACCTCGATTTGCGTGAGCTGTCCGGGGTCGTACTCGGAAAGCCTATATGTAAAGATCTGTGAAAAATGATAAAATTTGACTATAAAATAAATTAATTTGACTTCGGTCAACGTTTTGGGTAAACGGACCTGGACTCGTGATTTAACGATCCCGGAGGGTCCGTAGGAAAATATGGGACTTAGGCGTATGGCCGGAATTGAATTCCGAGGTCCCAAGCCCGAGAAATGAATTTTTGAAAGAAATTATTTTCTGAAAAATATAAAGGTTTTTGAAAGTGAAATGTTATGTGAAACCTGTGGTATCGGGCCCGTATTATGGTTTTGGAGCCCGGTACAGGTTCGATGTGATTTATATGTGTTGTCGGTAAAGTTTGGTAAGAAACGAAATCCATTTGATGTTTAAAGAAGTTTTGAGAAATTTCATTGATGTTCAGGTTTAATTCGATGTTCATGATGTTATTTTGGTGATTTGATTACACGAATAAGTCCGTAGGATGTTTTTGAGGTTATGTGTATGTTTGGTTTGGATCCCCAAGGGCTCGGGTGATTTTTGGAT